GACTTGATAATGCAAGTAGTTTCGAATTTTGCAAGTCCGAAGTGGTGTCTGACTATTTGAATTTCTAACAAGGTTCCAGGTGATGCTGATTTAAAGATCACACATTGAGAGCTATTTATGAGGTAGTCCAATCACAGAAAATACTTACAACAAAGCCTAGAAGAAAGCTAAGATAATAGGGGTATCTACTTTACAAGGTTGTTGTGAGAATTCCATATTATAGATGCTCTTAATAGTTAACATTTATGAATAACCTCACTATAAGCCAGCAGTTGTTCCAAGTTCTTTCCTTTTTAAATTTATAACTGTGTATGTGATTATATTTTTATTTAACATAATTCTGTATGTTTATGAGATGCAATGTCATGATTTAATATTTTATAATGTGGAATATTAAATCAGGCTTATTAACAAATTCATCACCTTATATGTATATCATTACATATATTTTGTTTTACTGTTCAACTGAATCTTAATAAATATATATGTGATTATATATGTATACATATACATATAATCTCATATGATTTTACATATGTGATATATATCATCTATAAAATTGCATTATATGTCATATATAAAATTTTATAATATAAAATTTATGAACTATAAATATATTTCATTTTATTTATATGTTTTAGTTATATATATTTCATTTATAATAAAGTACATGAAATTGTATATAATATATTGTATATATAATTTAATGTATATATATAATTATTAACCTTGTTTTGCAGATGATAAAACTGTTCCATAAATATGAATATGAAGTAGACACCCAGTGCCTACAGTATTAAATGTTCAATAAGTAGTAGCTGGCAATTTTTCTAGTCAGTCATGAGCCACATAATGGCATTTCATCAATGATAAACTTCATATAAAACCATGGTCCAACATGATTATAATGCCATATTTTCACTGTAATTTTCAATGTTTAGATACACCAATACTTCCCCTGTGTTACAATTGCCTATAGTATTCAGTACAATAACATGCTGTAGAGATTTGTAGCTCAGGAGCAACAGGCTATACCATATAGGCCAGTTTTATAATGGGCTATGTCATCTAGGTTTGTGTAAAAACACTCTATGATGTTTACACAATGATGAAATCACCTAATGATGCATTCATTAGGATGTAGTCATGTTAGTAAGTCACACATAATTTATTTGTATGTATAAAAGTTATGAGTGTATAAGATCACATTTTTAAATTTAACTTTTAAGTTCAGGGATGCATGTACAGATTTGTTGTATAAGTAAACGTGTGTCACGGGGTTCATTGTACATATTATTTTGTTCCTCAGGTATTAAGCCTAGTACCTATTACTTATTTTTTCTGATCCTCTACCTTCTCCCACCCTCTACCCTCCAAAAGTCTCCAGTGTGAGTTGTTCCCCTTTATGTGTCCATATATTCTCATCATTTAGCTCTCACTTATAAGTGAGAACATGCAGTATTTGGTTTTCGGTTCCTGCATTAGTTTGAGAAGAATAATGGCCTTCACCTCCATCCCTGTTCCCACAAATGATGTGATATATTTTGTTTCTATGGCTGCATAGTGTTCCATGGTGTATATGTACCACATTTTCTTTATCCAGTTTATCAGTGATAGGAATTTATGCTGATTCTATATCTTTGCTATTGTGATAGTGCTGAAATGATCATTCACCTGCACGTATCTTTATGGTAGAACAATTTTTATTTCTTTGGATATATACCCAGAAGTAGAATTACTAGGTCAAATGGTATCTCTGTTTTTAGGTCTTTGATAACCACCACACTTGTCTTTCACAATGATTGAACTAATTTACACTTCCACCACCAGTGTATAGTTATTCCTTTTTCTTTGCAATCTTGCTAGCAACTGTTAATTTTTGTTAGCGTTAGCCATTCTGACTGGTGTGAAATGATATCTCATTGTGGTTTTGACTTGCATTTCTCTAATGATCAGCAATGTTGAGATTTTTTTAAATGATTGCTGCCCATATGTCTGACTTTTCATAGTTCATTATTGCCAGGGCACGGGCCACAGGGTGTAAGATTAAAAAAAAAAGACTATTCTGGGCATATTGGTACAACTCCTGGTATGGTATAGCATAGTTAGGTAGGAATCTTCTATAATGTAGTTTAACTCTCTCAAATTATAAATCAGATAAGTGGAACAAGAAAATTCAAATTACTTACTCCAGTTCCCAAGACTTTATTAAAATCCTTTGTATCCAGCATGCAGAAAACAGTGAGATATAATCATTAACATTGTGAAATCTGGAGTCTTAAAGTTTCTACCATGTTTTGGTAACAATTTCTGTATCATTGAGTTGTGTTGAGAATTAAATTAAATACATACCCAGTAGGAAGCAAAGACTAGCTCTCTCCTCATCTCTGAAAATATTGAACTTCCATTTTCCTGGGGATAAAAAAAATATTACACAAGCAAAGAGAATATACGGGTGTGGTTGAGAATCCTACGGTAAGTTTTTACATGTCTGAGCCCTCAGTAGAGTGTAAGGGTTTGGTTGAACATATAAGCAAAATATTTCTTAATGAATAACATGAGAAATTACTATGATTTAATGGGAGAAGAAAGCTGTATGAAGAAATTTAAATTTCTAAACAAGATTTTATATTTTAGCGAAATGCATATCATAATATTTGACATTTTAGTCATTTTATTTTTGAAATTACTTTTATTTTTCTAACGTTTTAACTTTTATTTTAGATTCGGGGGTACATGCATAGCTTTGTACCCAGGTATATTGTGTCATGCTGAGGTTTCGGGTACATATGATCCTATCACACAGGTACTTATTGAAACACTCAACAGTTAGTTTGTCAACATTTGCCACCCTTCCCTGCCTCCTTCTTATAGTCATCCCCAGTTTCCACTGTTGTCATCTTTATGCCCCTGAGTACCAAATGTTTAGCTCCCACTTATACATGAGAAAATGAAATACTTGGTTTTCTATTCCTGCATTAAATCACTTAGGATAATGGTCTCCATCTTCATTCATGTTGCTGCAAAGGAAATAACTTCATTTTTTTATGGTTGTGTGGTATTCCATGATGTACCTGTACCACAGTTTCTTTATACGTTCCACCATTAATGGGCACGTATGCTGATTTCATGTCTTTGCTATTTAAATAGTGCTGGGATTAACATGCAAGTGCTTGTGTCTTTTTGGTGGAAGCATTTTTCCTTTGAATATATACCCAGTAATGTAATTGAGGAGTCAAATGGCAGTTCTGTTTTAATTTATTTGAAAAATCTCCAAACTGTTTTCCACAGTGGCTGAAATAATTTAAATTACAAATGAGAGTGTATTAATGTTCCCCTTTCATTTTTTTTTTATTTTAACTTCTGTGGCACATGTACAGTTGTGCAAGTTTGCTACATAGGAAAACATGTGCCATGGTGATTTGCAACACAGATCAAACCATCACCTATGTATGAAGCTATTTTTCCTGATGCTCTCCCTTCTTCTGCCCCCAAGATAGGCCCCAGTGTGTTTTGGCATGTTTTTCCTCTCCCTGTGTCTATGTGTTCACATTGTTCAGCTCCCACTCATAGTGAGAGTTATTCAGGAACAAGTTGTTAATTTCCATGAATTTGTGTAATATTGAGAGATCTTCTTGGTATTGATTTCTATTTTCATTTCATTGTAGTCTCAGAGTATGGTTGGTGTAATTTAGATGTTTTTGAATTTATTGAGATGTGATTTTTGGCTAAACATGCTGTCAATCTTGGTGCAGGTTACTATTTCCAGATGAGATGATTGAATATTCTGTAGTTAATGGGTGGAGTATTCTGTAGATCTTTCTTTGGCTTAATTGGTCATATGTAAGATTTAATTCCAGAATTGTTTTGTTAATTTTCTTGCTTGACGTTATGTATAACATTGTAAGTGTGGTGCTGAAGTCCCTCACTATTATTGTGTTTCTCTTGAAGTCTTTTTACAGATCTAGAAGTACTAATTTTATGAATCTGGTGCTCCAGTGATGGATGTGCATATGTTTAGGATAGGTAAATATTCTTGATGAATTGAACACTTGCATCCCTGGGATGAAGCGTAATTGATCGTGATGGATAAACTTTTTGATGTGCTGTTGCATTCATGTGGCCAGTATTTTCTTGAAGATTTGTGTATCTGTGTTCGTCATGGATATTGGCCTGAAGTTTTATTTTGTAGTTGAGTCTCTGCCAGGTTTTGGTATCAGGATGATGTTAATCTCATAAAATGAGTTAGGGGGAATTCCCTTCTTTTGTATTGTTTTTAATACTTTCAGAAGTGCAAGCTCCTCTTTGTATGTCTGGTAGAATTTGGCTGTGAACCCACCTGGACCTGGATTGCTTTTGGTTAGTAGGCTATTGCTGCCTCAACTTCAGCCCTTGTTATTGTTCTATTCAGGGTTTCAAATACTTCCTGGTTCAGCCTTGGGATGACCCAAGTGTACAGTACTGTATCCATTTATTCCAGATTTACTGGTTAATGTGAATAGAGTTGTTTGTTTTAATCTCTTATGGTAGTTTTTATTTCTTAGGAATCAGTGCTAGCCAAAATCTCCACCCTGTTCTGTGCCAACAAATTGTGGCGTTGAGCTGGAAGGATCTGTCTCTCAGATCTGCGCTGCTAACTTGTGGCACTGCTAAGCCTGGTGGTGTTCTCCTGTACTGTGGGTTGCAAAGGGCATAGGAGAAGCACAGTGTCTGAACTGGAGTGTCAAATGTGTAAAGTCCCTGATCCTCCCATTGGTTACGCTTCCTGAGTGAGGCAGAGCCCTGCCCTGCCTGGGTCTGTCCTCCCTGGGCTACACCCACTGTCCAACCAGTGTCATTGAAATTAACCTGGTACCTCAGTTGGAAATGCAGAGATCGCTCATGTTCTGTGTCTCTCTCACTGGGATCTGTGCTCCGAAGCTGTTCCTATTCAGCTGTCTTGGCGGAAGTCCTGTGATTGTTTACTTTTTAGGCTGTTTATCTCTTTCTTTTTTTCCTGAAAAAATATAAAATGCTTTACTAATTTGCATGATATCTATGCAGAGATGACATGATAATCTTCTTTGTATTGTTTTCATTTTTTGTATATGTGCTGCCAAAGTGACCACAGAATTTTAAATTTAGAATTCAATATTCTATAGCAAACTTTGTCCTGTCCCTAGATATAACCATCCAAGGCTCCAAATGCATTTTCACATTTTGAGTACTTCTATGTGGATGGCTAATCTTTAATCATGAATTTCTATTTAATCAGAAATACCTTTAATATTTTAGAATGTAATCGTAATATAATTCATTTTAGACAATGAAAATGAAAATTATTGGAAATAAAAAAGTAATATTACACATTATTAATACTAGTTGAAAAAATTTAAAAGTTCATTATCAATGAAATTCATATTTTAAGGCTTCAGGAATAATTAAATTTTGTATCGAGATTCTGATTATTGTAATGAAATAATGTTCCAGATCCTAAAAATAATTTGATATTAATATAAACATGTTGATGTGTCAAATTACATTTCTAGAAAGAGTCAAAATCAAGCAGTGTAACTGAAATGTGAAATAACATTTTTTCCTTACATTTATACATTTCTAACCTTTATTGTTTTATCACTAAAACAATACACACTTGTTTGGGAAACTAGGAAAGTCATACAAATTACATGAAATACATTAATTATCAATAATTTCATTGTGTACAGAATATTTCTGTTCAAATAATAAGAAATAATCTAGATTAATGAATGCCTTCATATATTTTTTACCTGTTTTAATTAGTATCATTTCTTCATCACTGGGCAACAGCTCCTTTTCATCAAACTACGTATTTGTTTTAATCATCTACTAGAACAACCTGAGACATCAATTTTCAAAATAATTTCAAACTTAAAAAAAGCAGGTTTATCAAGAGTACAAAAATATATATATCTTCTTTACTCAGATTCCCCAATTGTCAATGATTTATGGCATGTGCCTCTCTCTCTCTATTTCTCCATCAATAATAACTATATGGTTAGACAGAAATATTTTATTATTCTTTTTCTGAATAAGTTAAGAACATAATTCAAGTCTGATGCTGCAAACTTAGAAAATTACAGCATACATTTGCCAAAAATAATGACTTTTTTTACCATACCACCATTACAACCTCCAAATTAGTAAACCTTGCCATTCATTTAACAGATTCCATTCAAATTCTGCTAATGATCTCAGTAATTTCTACTTTATATTTTTGGTTTGGGATCTAATCTAGGATTAAATGTTGCACTCAATTATTACATCTCTTTACTGCCCTTTAATTTGGAACGGTTTTTCTGTCTTAACCTCTCTTTCATGATGGTGCCAATTTTAAGGCATAATAGCCCCTTATTCTGTAGGAAGGAAGGCTCATGTTGTTTGGTGTTTTCATGACAAGGCTTAGGACATGAAATTTTGGCAGATACAACACTAATACAATGCTGCATTTTTCTCAGTGACTCACATCTAAAGGCATCCAAATTGACTGAATATTAATACCTTACTTAACAAGGGTACATTTGTCAAAATGAAAAAAATTAACATTGGTTAATTTTTACATTGCTATTCTCATATTTACTTTCTCCTCCATTTCTACGTCTTCTTGCTCCCTTTCTTTTTCTTCCTCTCCTTCTTCTTCCTCCTCCTCCTGCTTTTCTTCTTCCTTCTTATCCTTTTCCTTTCCATCTTTCTCCTCCTCCTATTTTATTTTTTTATTCTTCTCAACTTCCCATAAATGTAATGTCTTAGCCATGGAGTCACATAAAAAAATAGTAGAATATACAACAATGACAGTAGATTAGAGTAGAATATCATAGAAAAATGAGATGTATTGATTCTGGATATTAGCACTTGTCAGATTGATAGATTACAAAAATTTTCATTAATTCTGTAGGTTGGCTGTTCACTGTGATGACAGTATCTCTTGTTCTACAGAAGCTCTTTAGTTTAATTAGGTCCCATTTGTCAATTTTGGCTTTTGTTGTCATTGCTTTTCGTGTTTTAGTCATGAAGTCTGTGCTCATGCCTATGTCCTAAATGGTATTGTCTAGGATTTTTCTAGGTTTTTTAGGGTTTCAAGTCTTACATTTAAGTCTTTAATCTATCTTGATTTAATTTTTGTATATGGTGTGAGGAAGGGGTCCAGTTTCAGTTTTCTGCCTATGGCTAGCCAGTTTTCCCAACACCATTTATTAAATAAGGAATCCTTTCCTTATTGCTTGTTTTTATCAGGTTTGTCAAAGATCAGGTGATTGTGAATGTATGGTGTTATTTCTGAGGTGTTATCTCTGTTATGTTCCATTGGTCTATATATCAGTTTTTGTACCAGCACCATGCTGTTTTAGTTACTGTAGCCTCAGAGTATAGTTTGAAGTCAGGTAGTGTGATCCCTCTAGCTTTGTTCTTTTTGCTTAGGACTGTCTTGGCTATCCAGGCTCTTTTTTGGTTCCATATAAAATTTAAAGTTGTTTTTTCTAATTCTGTGAAGAAAATCAGTGGTAGCTTGATAGGATAGCATTAAGTCTATAAATTACTTTAGGTAGTATGGCCATTTTCATGATATTGATTCTTCCTAAGTTTTATTCCTATTTTATTCTCTTTGTAGCAATTGTGAATGGAAGTTCACTCATGATGTGACTCTCTATTTGTCTATTATTGGTATGTAGAAATGTTTGTGACTTTTGCACACTGATTTTGTATCCTGGGACTTTGCTAAAGTTCCTTATCAGCTTAATGACATTTTGGGTTGAGATGATGTGGTTTTCTAAATATATAATCATGTCATCTGCAAACAGAGACAATTTGACTTCCTGTCTCTTTATTTGAATGCACTTTATTTCTTTCTCTTGCCTGATTGCCCTGGCTGGAAATTTCAATACTACGTTGAATAGGAGTAGTGAGAGGGGGCATCCTTTTCTTCTGCCGGTTTTCAAAGGTAATGCTTTCAGCTTTTGCCCATTCAGTGTAATATTGGATATTTGTTTTTCATAAATAACTCTTATAAATTTGAGATACTTTACTTCAATATTTAGTTTATTTAAAGTTTTATCATGAAGGGATGTTGAATTTTACCAAAGGCCTTTTCTGCATCTATTGAGATAATCATGTGATTTTATCATTAGTTCTGTTTATGTGATGGATTGTGTTTATTGATTTGCATATGGTAAACCTGCCTTGTATTCTAGGGATGAAGCCAACTTGATCGTGGTGGATAAGCTTTTTGATGTGCTGCTGGGTATGGTTTGCCAAAATTTTATTTAGGATTTTGGCATTGATATTCATCAGCAATATTGGCATGAAATTTTCTATTTTTGTTGTATCTCTGCCAGGTTTTCGTATCAGGATGATTCTGGCCTCAGAAAACTATTTAGGGAGGAGTCCCTCTTTTTCTATTGTTTGGAATACTTTCAGAAGGAAGGATAGCAGCTCCTCTTTGTACCTTTGGTAGAATTCAGCTGTGAATTCATCTGGTCCTGGGTGTTTGGTTGTTTGTATATCGTCTTCTGAGAATTGTCTGTTTATGTTATTTGCCTACTTTTTGATGGGATTTGCTTTTATTCTTGAAGATTTGTTTAAGCTCCTTGTAGATTCTTGATATTAGTTATTTGTTAGATGCATAGTTTGCAAATATTTTCTCTCACTCTGTGGGTTGTCAGTTTACTGATTATTTCTTTTGCTGTGCAAAAAATAGTTTATTTAGGTCCAATTTATTTGTTTTTGTTTTTGTTGCCTTTGCTTTTGGGTTCTTAGTCATGTATTCTCTGCCTAGGCCATTGTCTAGAAAAGTTTTTCTTATGTTATCTTCCAGAATTTATATGGTTTTAGGTCTTAGACAAGACTAATTTATCTTAAGTTGATTTGTGTATAGGGTGAGAGATGGGAATTCAATTTCATTTTTCTACATGCGGCTTACCAGTTTTCCCAGCACCATTTATTAGATAATGTGTTCTTTCCCAACTATATGTTTCTGTATGTTTTGTCAAATATCAGTTGCCAGTAAGTATTTGGTTTTATTTCTGGGTTCTGTATTCTGTTCCATTGGTCTACATGACTCTATTTGTACTAATACCATGCTGTTTTGGTAACTATAGACTTGTAGTGTAATTTGAAGTTTTGTAATATGGTGTCTCCAGATTTGTCCTTTTTGTTTAAAATTGCTTTTGCTATGTGGGCTCAGTTTGGATTTTATATGAATTTTAGAATTTTTTCTCCTAGTTCTGTGAACAATGATGATGGTATTTTATTGGGAATTGCATTGAATCTGTAGATTGTTTTGAGCATTGTGGTCATTTTCTAAGCAGTGATTCCACCCATCCATTAGCATGGGGTGGGTTTACATTTGTTTGTGTCACCTATGATTTCTTTCAGTAATATTTTGTAGGGTTTTTTTTTTTTTTTGAGATCTTTTTGAATGACTAATATAATTCAGCTGTGAATCCATCTCATACTGGATTTTTCATGTTGGCAATTTATTTTTATTACTGATTCACTCTTGCTGTTTGCTTTTGGTCTGTTCAGGATTTCTAATTCTGATTTAATCTAGGAGGGTTGAATATTTCAAAGAATGTATCCATATCCTCTAGATATTCTAATTTTTGTTGTAAAGATGTCCATATTAGCCTTGGGTGATCTTGTATTTCCGTAGTATCAGTTGCAACATCTCCTGTTTCATTTCTAATTGAGCTCATTTGAATCTTCTTTCTTATTTTATTTACTTTCCTGTCACTATAATTAATTCTAATTAATATTTTATGTTAAAATTACTTATCTTATTGTAGTGTCTTTCATGGCAAAAAAAAAAAAAGTTGTGTCTTATCACTTAAACCTGTCAATTGTTTTATAAACTCTGAATTTTTAAGTTTCTTAGTTCATCCTTTATAATATTTTTGTGTCTATGGGTTTTATGGATGAAAACCTATTCTAAAATGTTATTTAATTGCAATATTAATAGCCACTTGAAATAAGTTCATGCTATTTTTCTTTTAATTTTAGGTGATGGATTTTCCCAAATCATTAATAAAGTCTTTTATTTTTCTTACTAGTTTGAAACATTGCCTTAAATGTATGTTGAAATGACATATGTATATCT